AATTTATAAAAATATAATAGTTTTAAATATTAATATCTCTTATTTTATTTTAAAATTTGATATTTAATTTATAAAAGTATATATTTATAGTGATAAATCCGAAACGGTACGCGAAAAATTTCGGTATCCGGTACGTACCGTTCCAGTAACAAAACCGGTACGCATGCCGGTACGGTATTGACTACTTTGGTTTAGATCCAAGTGTTAACTGGAGAAAAAAATAAAGTAAAAATTTTTAGATCTTGTTGGTCCAAAAATCACTAAAAATTCCTTACCAACATATGATGGTCCAACAATAAACAAGACTTAGCTGTAGCAACAATAACATTTAGAAAAGTAAGAACAAATGGTTTTGTCCTAGACGCTTTAACAGTAGTTAGATTTGGAGGGTTAAATAACATTGGCTCATTTTCAAGTGTTAAAGGAGATGTGACTATAGGGACATTTGCCACAGAAACATTTCCTTTAAACAAAGGATTGGTTGTCGAAGGTGCCCTTGTAGTGACTAAGGTTGCTTGAAGAGATTGAAAGGAAACCATCAATTCTTTCAAACCATCAATTCCTTTAAAGTGTTTTCTATGTTTTCAACTTGATTTTTAAGAGCTCCCTTCTCTATATTAGCTTTGTTAGCCATCTTCTTTGTAAGAGCTCTAGTGAGAACAAGTGAACAAACTCGTGGATAATTCCTTTTAGGACCAATTTTTTAACACCTATACGTTATATGACCATTGTTAACTTGAAACAAATCATGATTTTTAATCTAATTAGTATTTTGAAAGATAAATTTATTTTACACATAGATTCTTCATTGTTAAGGGCAACTTTAGCGAATTACTTGTAAGGAAAAGATAAATTAGAGCCAGGTAATTGTCACACAAGGCAAAAGCATGAGGAGATTGCCTCCTTCATGACCTTTTTCTTTTTCTTTTATGTTGATCTTTTTTTTAAAAAAAAAAAAAAAAAAGAAAAGGAAAAGGAAAACAATGAGGAGGTTGCCTCCTTCATAACTTTTCTTCTTTGGAATGATGGGGAATTTGCTTCTTTTTTCAACAAATAGAATTTAGGAAAATGCAAAATGTTATAAGATTACTTAGACTACTCCAAGTAGCAGCCCAATCCTTTACATAAGGTCTTTTAGTCTACAAAGAGAATCCATCCTCGTGTGACTTGTTCTTCTTAGATAACGGCTGACATTCTAGCTCTATACTCCTCTTTTACCCTTACTATCCCTTTTTTCCAAAGAATTCATGTGTAAAATAATCAATTACCTATTTATTAAAGTAGAGAGAAGAATTAATAAATGTCATACCTCTTTCCTCAACTAAGAAACACAAAAAAAAAAAAAAAACATTATTTAAAAATAAAAAACTCCCTACGTGTCCTCTGTGAAAGGCTCTTAAACTTTGAAGGTGGTTTACTATGCTGGCCTACCTATGGTTAAGTTTTTGTCTAAGTCCATTACATGGAGTTTCCTAGTGAATCCTATACAGTCAAGCTTTTTTAATTGTTAACGCCCATAGAGTCAACAACTACTAACTCCCACAAAGTTAATAGGAGACATTTCATGACCTAATATAGCAGCAACATTATGGTTGGCAGACTGTATTAATTAGCAAAATGAACCTAAAAAAGATAATCCCATTTTACAAGGATAGCATTACTCTTTGCGTTGTTCCATGAGTTATCCATCTACCTAGAGGTCGGGTTCACCTTATCAAGGACAAAATGATATGCAAGTGACGTGTGTGAGAGAGCATTCAAATAATATTAACATAATAAAATAACAAAAATATTAAATAAAATAACTAAATGCAAAAGAGGAAAAACTCACAATGTACCCCATGCCAAGTGCAAAACAAAAGTTAGAAATTGAAAAATCCCAAAATTAAAGTATAAATGGCTTAACCCCTTAATGTTCCTTAGTGAAGTTACCAAACTGTTGATGTGCCGAAATGGATGGAATTGCCTTGGTTGACAACAACAAACTTGAACTGCTTTTTTATTCTTTGTTTCCTAAATAGTACCAAGTTATCAAAATAACAGCAATCAACTAATGTTTAAAATTGAATAAATAAACAAACTATAGTTTTTGAGCATATAGAACTAACAATTCCTTAGTTTCTCATGTTAACCAAACTTGAACAAACCTATTAATGTAAACAAAATTGATAACCAACTTTTACAGACAAAGCTAGGTAATTTCAAAATCAAAAAGAGAACCAAAAAAAAAAAAAAAAAAAAAGGAAAAGAAAGAAATCTATGTATTTAGCTGAATTTGTTACATTTCACAGATAAACTATACCTACACTGAACTTTTGTATATGGCTAAATCTGTGTCCAACCATATACTATGCCATCAAGCAGGAGAAAGGAAAGTATCCACCAAATGTTGTGCGGAAAGGTGTGCTGATCAACAGCATGTCACGCAGTCCAAAAAAGAAATGGAGTACACAAACTTACAATGTATGAAAAAAATGAATTAAAACCTTGAGCTTTAGCTCATCAGTATCAATGAATTCTTCAGAGCTTTGAGTACAACCGTCTTCCTGTGTTAAAATAGTAGTGCTGCTAGCCGACCAACTTTACAGATCCATTGTCTTAATGGCCAGGTTCATGGTGTATGTTTTGCTCTGTAAAATTATAATTGTACCAAGTTATAAAGCACTGAAATTTATATGGAAGAACAACATGAGTGTGTCATTCACTTTTGGGATACAGTTTCTGTAGTACAAATATGTGGTAGGATTCTCTGTTGTTAAAAAAGTTGCATAAAAAAACGAGTCACATATCAGATCAAAAAATACGTAAATAGTTTGGTAGAAGCTATCCAATTGAAGCAACTAAAGATTTGTGTGATATAAAGATGAAGTCCAAATGATAAATTTACCAAAATCAGCAAAATCAGCAAAATTGGTCTACAATTGGCATGATTACTCACCTATATCAGTAGGATCCACATGCACGAAAAAACTTGCAGAGACTATCAGATAGCAAAGAACGAGCATTAGCCCTTTAAAGTAGTTAGAAGTTCCCTCCTGCAAGTTCCAAACAGTAAATGCATAAGAAGAGTCTGTCATAGAAAAGAGAATATAATTGGTGAGAAGAAAAATATTTTCACAATGAGAAATTATTTCAAAAGTACTCGAGTCTAGAAAGTTTAAGCCACACTCAATTGTGAGAAGAATAACCTATAAGACTTATTTTATCAATGTGCAAACCTGCAGCATGAAGGCCACAACTAGCACTGTAATGAAGAGTGTAGCTGTCTCAAAAAGTTGAAAGTTTAAGTCCATAGGGCGTCCCATTATCCATGCAATGACCACACAAAAAGGAATCTGCAGTACTTGTAACATCATCACCAATGTCAGGAGATTAGCGTTCCACAAGGTAGGAAGCATGCACACCACATATTATGGCCAAATTAACAAAAGTGAAGTAAACCAGAAAGGAAAGCATGAGAGGGCACATAAAAAACTCATACTTGCATCTTAATTAGATTCAGGCCATAATCAAATTGTATAGTATTTTTACTTACCCCAAACATGGCTATCTGTGTTGATGAGCCGATTGCCACCCCCAAAGAAATGTCCTATAACAAAAGATATTTAGGAATTATAAGCACAATAATAAGGTTGTCAAATGATCGAGGCAGGTCAAGAACTTACAAGCTTGTCTTTCATGGCAAACATGATAGCACTAGCATGCTCTGCTGCATTCCCAACAATAGGGAGCAAAATAACACTGATAAATGCCATTGGCAATTTTAAGGCTTTAGATGCTCCCTGGAAAACATAATTACATATAATGTAAAAGAATTTTTAAGTAATGATATTCTCTCCTAGTACATAAATTTAGCAAGAGTATTAGTGAAGTTCCGCATCATGGCAAATTTGCAAAGAGAAACACATCAATTATACTCATAAAGTTGCAAGCTTCAAAACTCTTTTTTTCTAAAAATCAGTTAAAACATTGTAGTTCATAACATACTAACATCACCCACCCATAATGAGAAAGCAGATAGAAAAGGAGAGGCAAAATAAAGATACTTAGAGACCCTCATTTGCCTTAAGGATCAAACAATTAAGAAGATTACATTAACTGCAAAGGAGATTACCTCTATTGCTTCAACCAAATATTCAGAGAGGACTGCTATCCATATAGTCAAAATAGATAGCCATATTATTGCTTCCCACATTGACATCTCAGGAGCCTCATCATCATCATCTGAATTACGTTCATTGTCATCCTCTCCCTAATGTTCATGGCATTTATCAAATAAACCATTAATAAAAAAAATCAACAAAGACGTAATAAGAGTAAGAAAAGTTTTCAAAAACTCATGTACAAAGTGGATATTAAAGACAGAGATAGACAACCAATGACAATTTTTGATGAATAATGAATTTGACAAAAATTTGTTCATTTTAGAATTTTTTTTGAAATAACAATATCTTTTACGTTTCACCCCAAAAAACCTTTCTATGAGTCATTAACATTCATATTTTGTAATCACTAGCAAAAACTCATTTTGGATTTCTGATTTCCTCTCTTTTTCATTGTTACAGGGCTGACCCTCTAAATATAAATTTTTTTAGCCATCTATTTCCTAGAAACTTTATATTTCTCATTGCTGATAGGCATTCGGTGATTGGAATATGCAAATGGTCCTAGGACAATAGTACATTTTAATCGAGAATGCATGGGTTAAGCCTATAAAAACATTAAGTTCCATGCACTAACACGTGCAGAGAGGAGATTGAATTTAGAGGTAGAAGACTGTAGCCTAAAATCAATATTTGGAAACTTTATAAAAGGTTGACAAAGTACTATCAGTAACTTGCATGATATATCAAGATTTTTTATTGATCAGCATGCATGATATATCAAGATGTATCATTTACTGAAAGAGGTATCCTTCATTTCTTAATAAAACAATACTGTTTTTATTCTTTGGAAGTTATTTATAAAATTATTTGTAAGTTTTCACACAAAGAATAGTAGCAGAAAAAAGAACTAAAGAGGCTATCCTGCCTTTGTAATTCAAACTAGGTTAGTTGTACTACCTAAACCTATAAAAGGCTGAAGGTGAGCAATATCAGTTACTAGGTATATCTAATTTGGTAATCCAAGGTGAATAGATAACAGTTAATCACACATACGTTGATTCTTCCGTCAAAAAGAAAGGAGACCAACATCACTAACCATGTCATATAAAGTTTTCTGGCTCTTCAACTGAAAATATAGATAGGCACCATAAGCCAAAAGCATAATGCAGCTACTAAACCTTGAAAGAGCCAACTCAGACTTCCCAAAATGCAATTCTGTGTTTGTAGCATGCAAGACAGCAGGGAACAGTAAGCCCATGACAGCCATCAACAACAATCCTGAGTTCACTCCAGCAGCTGCCTATGAATAAGATTAGAACAATACAATGGTTTTTCAAGAAAGGGCAAACATAAAAGAAAGGATATAGGCCCAGATTTTCAACTCAGTTAAAGTTTAATAGTGTCAAGAAAATCTACTTTACCTTATTAAAAACTTGCTCCCTTTTCATAATCACAAGTCCACCACCGAAGAATGCACAGCCAAGAACCAACAGCATGTTTGATAAAATTGATCCCAATAGTGACTGTTGAACAACACGAATCATGCCAGATTTCAATGCAAAAATTGATATGATCAACTCAGTTGCATTCCCAAATGTAGCATTTAAAAGCCCTCCAACTGCAATGCTTAATTCAAAATGCTATCCGTTATTCCTTAGGCAAAATTAGTTAGAATGATAAAGACATTTAGTTGATCATTTAACTTACGGATTTTTTTTTTTTTTTGAATTGTTTCCATCAAGAGGTCGGAATATATAGAGTTTGCATCTCATGGTTCACTTCAAATTCAAAATTTCTTTTGAAATGAAGGTTATTGGAGGAAAAATCAGATACAACTAAAGCCAAAACACTATTATTTACCAGCTCATCATACGAACAAAACATAGTTAAAATTTACTAGTGATTTTTTATTCTTTCTTTTATATGTGTTTTTTGTTAGTTCACAAAGTTTGAAATGTACACAAAAGGAGAGGGAGCTAGATTCAAACGGTACGCTCAAATGAGGGTGTTGCATGAAATTTAAAGATTAGCACAGCATCTAAAGAATGAAAAACAAAAAGAAATGAGAAAAGAAGATCACCACCTGTAGCTCCTGTAAAGAATGCCAGCTGCCTACATCAAAAGTAAAAGTTATACCCCAAGCTGTATTAGAAACACATCATAATTGCATTAAAAAAAATGCGAGTTGGAAGCAGTTGGATGCACAATTTAACAACATAAAACAACAATTTGAAGAACGTTACTTCTAAGTTCAGGAAACTTACTCTGTAGCAAAACCAAGACGTTCAGCCAAAGGTATGATTCCTAATAAGCTTAACACAAAAACCACACCCTGAAATATACACAAAAATGTAATCGAGTAAATGTAAACATAATGATGTATTGAAAGTTAGCAGGAAGGTGCGATACAGACGGAACTTACAGGATGACCAGAGAATTTGTCCACAATGATTGCTACGGGGCCAAAGATCATTAGAATGTTGAGTTTTGTGGAGAAGACAACAAGTTTAATGCTATTCCAAGGACTATTTCTGCACTTAGTGCATTCATTGAGACCAATATTTATATGAGATCCTTCTTTAAATGAATGATTCTTTCTTGCTACTGACCCTGGGCTCTCCAGGCTCTCATCCTCAAACTCAAGAACTGCTCTTGATTCCATCTCCAACGCCCCCATCTGTATAACCAACAAATACCCTTTTGTTCAATTTCAAAATTCAAGAACAAGAACATTGAAAAATGCATCTTGAAGGAAAGAAAATAGACCTCCTTATGAGAGTGAATTCGACCAAAGGATAAACTGTTGTTTAGGTTTATACTTTTGCTGTTGTTGTTGTGTTGAAGTTTGTTGTTCTGGTTCTCCATGAGGTATTCTATGCATAAAGAAGAATGCAATTCCCATGTCCAAACACAGACATACTATTCAATCACGTTCTGCACAAATACAGAACCCCATGAAGCATAGAATATAAAACCTTCAAATGCAGTTGATAAAGTCTTCAAGTCAGCCCAAAAACATGAGAAATGAGGGATTTTGCCTGACTATTTCCAGGATGAAACTTCAGGGAAAGTGAAGAATGGATCCTTTCGAGAAAGTGGAAAGTTCTTAAAGTCAATGTGTATGAATTTATTGCCGTAGAATTAATATGGTTAGCAAAAGAAGCAATGAAAAGGAAAGGGAAAGGGAAAGGGACATGAGGGGAAAAAGAGGACCCAAATAAGGAAAATGAGTAGAGTATCAATAGCCATTCAATGCCATCATTATCGGCAATGCTATTTTCAGAGAAAGCGGGAAAGGCAAAGAGATTTATCGTACCGTTTCTACAGGAGAAGTCGGAGATGGAAACTCTGTTTACACGTAACTACCTTCTCTTTCTGGTGCCACTCCATTTCAACACAAGGTTTTTAGAACCGAACCGGTCATCGAACCATTTTTAGGTCCGGTTTCCGGTTTAACCGGTTCAACCGGTTAAACCAATGAACCGACCGGTTCAAACAACCAGGCAGATCTGCAGGTTACAGCGGGTAGCTTCCATTTCCAGTGCTCAACACTTCAAGTCTTCAACATTAGTTTTTGCCTTTTTGATCATTTTTCACAACTTTTTAACATAAATATATTATATTTTTTACCTTAAAAACTCATCAAATAATCTCAATATTAATTCTCAAAACAAAATACATATAAAAAAAACAAGTAAGCAAGCAAATAATACAAGTTTCAAATCCAAAAACAAATAGAAAAAGATGTCTAAAAAAAGCTTAAATCTAAATAGATAACAATTCATTTAAGTTTCAAATACAAATAAAATAAACTCATAAAGGACTTGTTCATTCATTTCTCCTTAAATTAGGAGGATCTTCATTGAACCATGCATCACGTTCACAAAAATCATTTTCAACATCATAATTTTCATCATTTTCAACTTAAGGATTGCAATTGTGAGGATGTAGGAGTTGCTGCTGAAGCTGAATTTTGTCCAGATGATGACATTTTACTACAATGTACATCAAATAAATCATTAATAAATGACAACTCTACAAAATGCAAACTTAAAAAGTATACTAATACAAGGGACTTTTCCTTAAAAAGTACAAAATGCAAACCGAAGAAGAGCATTAAAAAAAAAAAAACTCAAAAAAAGAAACGAATTATATTGTAAAAACTAAAAAAGATTAAAACAAGTTAAAAGTTTAATTAACACAAAATATGCAACCTGCAATGCAAGTGTCCAAAAACCAACCCAGATAGGTAGATACAGAACATATGGCTAATTAATACAAAAAATTCAAAGTGTCCTGCAAGTATCTAGCAACTCTATTTCTAATTCTAAAATTGGAAAATAATTAACAATTTCTAATTCTAAAAAGTTATAAATTTAATTCAATTTTTTCTCATCAATTTATGAAACCAAGATATACCTGTGCTCGGGTGGGAGAAGCTGTGAATGTGAAGTGTGAGCTGTGAAGAAGCAGTGCAGGCCAATTGCAGAACAGAAGGCACACGGAAGGTGACCGGCGTCGGTGAGAGCAGAGACAAGCGCCGGTGAGAGCAGAGACAAGTGCCAGTGGAGCAAAACAGCAGAAAGCAGGGTCGATGAACTGAAGTGAAAGAAAGTATCAGCAGAAAGCAGTTCCGAACTTCCGATGAGAGCAGATCCGCAGACAGCACAGCAGACGCAGAGAGCA